AAAAAAAAAAAAAAAAAAGGAAGTGGAAGGGGGCACCTAGGAGGCCAAAGATGCAGAGGAGTGTGCTCCAGAGGCAGTGGGAAAACTGGGAGGGAATAGGCCTGGGATGTTGGATAGAGAGAATAAGCAAAGAACCATGCAGGAAGAAGAGTGGGGTAGGAGGCAGTGACCTTACCGGGGAGCCTTATGTTTTGGGCTATGACCGGGGCTGACAGAGGCGTGAGGCGTGGTGGGTTCAGAAGAGAGGTCAACGATGCATGGCGCATCTCTAAAGCTGATAAAGGCAGCAAGTGGCACTGAGGCCAACCTGGTGGGCACTCAGAGAAGTAGGACACATATTGTGTGCCAGGAAAGAACAAGACACAAACCCTCATCTAGTGTGTGGTGGAAGTGATGCAAAGCTCAGTATGGCTACTGCCCAGGGATGGGAAGCAGCCTGGGCATGCCCACAAGGCTCTCTCTCTCCCTTCCAGAACCTGGCTGAATAGGGTTTGAAAAGATTTAATGACAATGAGCTCTCTATGGACCTACCATGTGCCCAGTATTTACCTTTCTTATCTGTAACGCTCAAGTCAATATTCTAAGGTAGGAATTGTTAGCCTCATTTTACTTTATTATTTATTTATTTATTTATTGAGACCGAGTTTCGCTCTTGTTGCCCAGGCTGAAGGGCAGTGGCATGATCTTGGCTCACTGCAACCTCCACCTTCTGGTTTCAAGCAATTCTCCTGCCACAGCCTCCCTCCCAAGTAGCTGGGATTACAGGTGACTGCCACCATGCCCAGCTAATTTTTATATTTTTTAGTAGAGACAGGGTTTCACCATGTTGGCCAGGCTGGTCTTGAACTCCTGACCTCAGGTGATCTGGCTGTGCCTCCCAAAGTGCTGGGATTATAGGCCTGAGCCACTGTGAGCCAGGCCTATCTTCATTTTATTTACAGAGAAACTGGAATTCAGAGAGATTCTTGCCCAAGGTCTTGCCCTGGACCAATTCCAGGTCTATCTAATTCCAAAGTCCATGTTCAGTACACTGTCTCGTGCTTGCGAGCAAAGAGAGGACTTTGCTCCTAAGACCAGATCCACACCACAAAGAGCCTTAACACTTGCTACTAGGGGAAGCCACCATCCTCAGGGAAAAGCCAGGTGCTATTCCCCTCACCCCAGAGGGTTTAGGATTTGGGAGAAAGAGGCCTGATGGAACATAGAGGGGCCAGGTCCATGTATTAACTGATCTGGGTAAAAGAACAATAGCTCAGGACCCGCCAGGGAAAGGACAGCCAAGCCCAGGGCACAGCTGCCCAAATATCACCTCTCCCTCCTTGTCCCACCATGCCTTGTCCCAGCATGAACGTACCCCCTTCAATTTCCCTCTTTTCCTGTCTCCTGCATAGGCAGAACCAGCTCTGAGCAATAGCCAGGGCAGCAGGTCCTCAGGCTTGCCACTACGGCCTGTTTACCCTACACAGACCATGATCTATCAGGTCTGAGTAACGCCCCACTGCTAGGTGTTTGTGTCAAAAACTCCTGCCAGTGGTGCAACAGCTGGGTGGGACCAGTGACGTGGACTCGAATGCCACAAAATGTACTGAGCACATTCTGAGTCAACACAGTGATGATGTGCCCACCCCAGATAAAGATTTTCAGTATTTATTTGTTTGGGTTTTGTTTATGTGTACCCTTCTTCATCACCAAAGATTTGAGGCTACTGAAAATGAAAACTGAAATGGCAATAAAAGAGAGGGGGTTGCAGAGAGGACACAGGATGGGGAAAATAGAAATAATTGCAGAAAATTATGACCCGATGAAGAGCACAATCACAGAAGCGGTAAGAGATGGCAAGGTTGCCAGAGGTGATCTCCACGTTGGCTTTGGGTTTCCTGGAAACCCGAGAAGAGAGGGATTCAGTCAGTTACATAATTTTCTTTTCTTTTTTTCTTTCTTTCTTTCTTTCTTTCTTTCTTTCTTTCTTTCTTTCTTTCTTTCTCTCTCTCTCTCTTTCTTTCTCTCTCTCTCTCTCTCCTTCCTTCCTTCCTTCTTTCTTTTTTTTCTTGAGATGGAGTCTTGCTCTGTCACCCAGACTAGAGTGCAGTGGTGTGATCTCGGCTCACTGCAACCTTCACCTCCTGAGTTGAAGCGATTCTCCTGATTCAGCCTCCTGAGTAGCTGAGACTACAGGCATGAACCACCATGCATGGCTAATTTTTATGTTTTTAGTAGAGGCAGGGTTTCGCCGTGTTGGCCAGGCTGGTCTTGAACTACTGACCTCAAGTGATCTGCCTGCTTCAGCCTCCCAAAGTCCTGGAATTACAGGCGTAAGCCATGATGCCCGACTTGATTTTAACTTTTTATTATAAACAACACTGTGATGAACATCCACATAGCTAAATGCATGCATTCCATGATTATTTTCTTCAGATAATTTTTTTCTTATTATTTATTTATTTATTTTTGATATGGAGTCTCACTCTGTCACCCAGGCTAGAGTACAATGGCATGATCTTGGCTCACTACAACCTCCACCTCTCAGGTCCAAGCAATTCTCCTGCCTCAGCCTCTTAAGTAGCTGGGATACAGGCACAAACCACCAAGCCCAGCTAATTTTTGTATTTTTAGTAAAGACAAGGTTTCACCATGTTGTCCAGGTTGGTCACTAACTCCCGACCTCAGGCAATCACCCACCTTGGCCTCCCAAAGGGCTGGGATTACAGGTGGAGCCACCTTGCCCCGCCTTAAGAGACATTTTTAAAGGGAAGAACATTTTCTGGCCAAGTACATTCCTATCCACAAACCTTTTGCCATAACTTCCTGGGGAGGTTGGAACCAATGGCTTAGACTCCAAAGGAATGAATTTACCCTAAAGCTTTCAGCAATCTTCTGTTGATGCTCCTTGTGCAGACTTCCAGACAAACACGGAAGGCTGAATGCACACATCTAATTTCACTTTTTTTCTGAAATCCTCCTGAAACTATAGTGAAGAAATCTTTTTGGAAAAGTTATAGCAAGGCACTGTGGCTCATGCCTATAATCCTAGCACTTTGAGAGGCCAAGGTAGGCATATTGCTTGAGTCCAGGACTTTGAGACCAGCCTAGGCAACATGGCGAAACCCTGTCTCTACTGAAAAAATCAGCCAGGCATGGCACACTTGTAGTTCCAGCGACTCATGGGGGCTGAGGTGTGAGAATCACTTGAGCCTGGGAGGTGGAAGCTGCGGTGAGCCCTGATTATGCCACTGCACTCCAGCCTGAGCAACAGAGCCTGTGCCTGTCTCAAAAAAAAAAAAAAAAAGATAAAGATGTAGATTCATAGAGACCAGATGGGGGAAAGAAAGAAAAGACCACAACACAGTTTTGGATGTTAGAAAGCAAACGGACCAGTTGCAACTGATTTAGCAGGCCTTGGGAATGCAGGTCATGAAATGGAAGTGAGAAAAGATGAGTTGCAGCCTGACTTACCCTGCTGGATTCTCAACAGGCTAAGAGATGATAGTAGGGCTGCTGCTAGCCCATGCTGCACCTGCGGGTGCAGTAGAAACAGCCTCCCCTTTCTCAAGACACTCTATAGCCATCTGCCAGAGATTTGTCATGATAAATATACATCCAGGCACGGTGGCTCACCCTTGTAATCCCAGTACTTTGGGAGGCCGAGGCGGATCGATCACCTGAGGTCAGGAGTTCAAGACCAGCCTGGTCAAGCTAGTAAAACCCCATCTCTACCAAAACTAAAATTAGCCAAGCATAGTGGCAGGTGCCTGTAGTCCCAGCTACTCAGGAGGCTGAGGCAGGAGAATTGCTTGAACCCAGGAGGCAGAGATTGCAGTGAGCCAAGATCACTCCATTGCACTCCAGCCTGGGTGACGGAGCAAAAAAATAAATAAATGAATCTCAAAAAAATAAATAAACAAATAAACAAATCTATCCTGTCTAGCCTGTAAGAGAGGTGGACTCAGAATGATGCAGTGCAGAGCTTGCTCAGTCATATATGACTGTCCTGAACTGGGCCACCAGTTTCTACTGAAAGAAGAGGTGGCAGAGGAGGCTGTCATAAAACATGAAAGATTGATTGAAACAATTTAAGGAGCAGTTAGCGCTTTAGCCTCCCTGTCTCACCTTAGTAGAAGATTGGACGTTTATTCTCTTGAACGTCAGTCAGAGTTGAGGACAGGAGACCTGTACTAGGAACAGGATTAAATCAAAGTATGTCCTCTGAAATGTTGAGTCCTCTTCCTGCTTCTTCCACTTGGCCCCAAGGACACTGGTATCCAGGCCTTTACCCTCCAGGCAGAAGAATGAAAGAACTTTCTTAGGGGAACATGACCAGCTCAAGAGGTAAGACCCAAAGGTTTTTACACTGGGGGTTCCCCAGCTAAACATCTCAGTGGAGCACCCTACAGAGACATTCAGGGTCAATGAATATTACCCATGTACTTGGAGCTTCACATCATCTTTAAAATCTCCCACTCTTAAATTTAAGCAGCCAGATTGCCAGTCATTTGAGGAAAGCTCCTAACATGAAAGATAGGGACCAAAACAAAAAATATTTAAAAAGGAAGTTGGAGAAAACTGAGAATATACAGAAAGAAGAACACATTGGAAAATGCCATTAATAACATCAGAAAATGAAAAGAATGTGTTACATTGATTAAACAAGAACAGGATAAGATAAAAAGACATTCACAGAATAACAATAAGAAAAACTCTTTGAAATTAAAATATATATATGTATAGCAGAAATAAAAACTAAATAGAGAGTAAAGGAATAGTCCAGAAAGGACGAGCATACGGAGATTGAAGAAGTAAGAACAAAGATAAGAAAATGAGAGGATCCGTCCAGGAAGGTCCATTGATGGGAAGAGATGAAGTAGTACAATCACCTTGAAAAAAACAATTCAGCATTATCTGGAAAAGATTCACACACACACACACACACATATATATGTACACACACACACACACACACACACACACTATACAACTCACCAAGACAAAATTATTTGTTAAACTCATTCATTTAGTCAACAAATATTTATTGAACACTTACTAAGTTCTAGTCATCATGCTAGGTGCTGACTACTCAAGAATAAACATAGACAAGAATGAAAAGAATGTATTACATTGATTAAACAAGAACAGGATACTATAAAAAGACATTCAGAGAATAACAATAATAAAAACTCTTAGAAATTTTTTTTAAAAAAAAGAACAAAAATGAAAACTAAATAGAGAGTAAAGGAATAGCCCAGAAATGGAGAGCATGCAGAGATTGAAGCAGTAAGAACAAAGATAAGGAACCAACCAAGGTTATTCTCAGAAACCAACCAAGGTTCTTCATCCCAAGGCAGCTGTGAAGTATAGCACACCTCTAGCTCAATTTTCTCCACAAGGTTTGGGGTTCCATGAATGAGTCTGTGGGTAAATTTCCTGTGCACACAATGTATGTGTGCTGTATTGAGAAAGATACAATTTAATTCTAAAAATTTTTTTTTTTTTTTTTTTTTTTTTGAGACGGAGTTTCGCTCTTGTTACCCAGGCTGGAGTGCAATGGCGTGATCTCGGCTCACCGCAACCTCCGCCTCCCGGGTTCAGGCAATTCTACTGCCCCAGCCTCCTGAGTCGCTGGGATTACAGGCACACGCCACCATGCCCAGCTAATTTTTTGTAGTTTTAGTAGAGACGGGGTTTCACCATGTTGACCAGGATGGTCTCGATCTCTTGACCTCGTGATCCACCCGCCTCGGCCTCCCAAAGTGCTGGGATTACAGGCTTGAGCCACCGCGCCCGGCCAATTCTAATAATCTTTAACAGAGTTGCACAAAGATAGAATGAATTGTTTTGAGAGATGGCACAGTTTGCTGTCAGTGGGAGTGTTCAGTACTAAGCAGGATTCATTCACTCAACGATTGAGTGGTGACCATGTGCAGGCACCGTGCTAGGCTCTCTGTATTTTCAGTATTCTATTGTTGTACCACAAAGTACCCTAAAGCAGCGTCTTAGAACAGCAGTAAACATTCATGATCTCTCACAATGTCTGGGGGTCAGCAGCTTGGCTGTGTTTTTCTGGTTCAGGGTCTGTCATGAGGTTGCAAGCAGGATGTTGTCTGGGGCTACAGTCATCTGAAGGCTTGGCTGGGGCTGGAGGATCTGTTTCCAAAGTGGCTCACTTTACTTGGCTGGCAAGCTGGTGCTGGCTGTTGGGAAGATGCTTCAGTTCCTCCCTGTGTTGACCTCTCCACAGGGCTGCTTGCGCATCCTCACAATATGGTGACTGTCTTCCCTCGGAAAGAGTGATCCAAGAGAAATCAAGGTAGGTATCACAATGCCTTTTATGACCTAGCCTTGGGAGTGAAATACCATGACTTCCGCAAGAGCCTATTGATCACACATCGGCCATCTTCATATAAGATGGACCACACAGCCAGGCGTGGTGGTGGGCACCTGTAATCCCAGCTACTCGGGAGGCTGAGGCAGCAGGAGAATCGCTTGAACCTGGGAGGCGGAAGTTGCAATGACCTCAGACTATGCCATTGCACTCCAGCCTGGGTGACAGAGCGAGACTCCGTCTCAAAAATAAATAAATAAATAAAAAGACAGACCACATGTGGGTGTGAATACTAGAGGCAATGATTGCTGGGGCCATTGTGAGAGCTAGCTACCACACTGTGCTAATACAATGATGAACAAACAAATGGAGAGCCTGAGCTCAAGAGCTGTTAGTCTAGAGTTTTGATCATTTGTTAAATGATATCAAAGGAACTGGGGCTGAGAGACAAGGTGGTTCCCTGAAACCCTAATGCCCTGTGATCTTATGGTCCTGGGTCCTAGGTCTTTTGTCCCCATAGCACTAATTCATTATCTTCGAACCAGCAGCTCACCAAACCCTCACGCCTCTGATATGGGCCATGGGGTGGGGACTCTATTGTGCCCCTGCATTGTCAGCTGTTTGTCACCACACAGTAAGATAGCCCTGACTCCACCCTGCAGGCTCTCAGATAGGAGACAAGGGAGTGCCCTGATAACCCTAAGCTTATTGTTTCTCTCCCCAGGACATGCTGCTGCCTCCTCCTGGAAGAAAGGGAGTGCTATGATAATGGAAGGAGGGCACGGTGTCCCCTTGCAGGAGCCACTTTTGATCCTGCCAGGACAATCAATCCTTCAAGAGCAGCAAGGCCCTGTGGGTACAGGAAGAGAGTGACCCTCAGATCCCTTCCCTTTGCCCTAATCAGGGCCACATAGTATACCAGAGACCTCAGGGATAGTGACCCTGGATGTTCTCAGAGAACTTCTGACCTTTGAACTTGGGGATGGGCACAGGGATGTGGCTAGCATCGCAGCCTGGCCCACACGGGTGCTGGTCAACATGCCTATGGGGCACTAACCCAGGTCCACAGAGAAGTCCTTTACTTCCAAATCACCTGAGGATCCAGTGGTGACCGGGGAGATTCTGACCTGAAGCTGTTGGCTCTGGGGGACTGCTGGGTAAGCTGATGTGGGCCAGGCTGGAGTTCAAACACACTTCCCTGGTGCCCACAGGGACTCCCAGCACACGCTCTCCTATGGGTGTCAACGATTCAGTCTTTCTTGGTGGCATAGGCTATAGCCTGGAGAAGCCCTGGGGAATATTTCTTTTCTTACTTATTTCTGATTGTAAAAGTAATACTCTCAGGATGACTATTGTTAAAAACAAAATAAAACGAAACCAAAAAATAACAGAAAACAACAAGCGTTGGAGAGGCTGTGAAGAAATTGGAAGCCTGGGCGTCGCCAGTGGGAATGTGAAATGGTGCGGTTACTATAAACGACAGTTTGGTGTTTCCTCCAAAACATAAATATAGAATTACCATGTGACCTGGCAATTCCACTTCTGGATATATGCTCAGAAAAACTGAGAGCAAGGACTGGAACAGACATGTATACACCCACGTTCATAGCAGCAGTTTTCACAATTGCTTAATGGATAGAGTTTTCTGTTTGGGATGATGAAAAAATTTTCAGAAATAGTGGTGGTGGTGGTTGCACAACATTGTAAATGTGATTAATGCCACTGAATTGTACACCTATAAATAGTTTAAATGGTAAATTTTATGTTATAAAAGTAATACGAAAATTGTCTTTCTTCTTTTCTTTCTTTCGCTCTCTCTTTCTTTCTTTCTTTCTTTCTGGCAGGGTCTTCCTCTGTTGCCCAGGCTGGAGTGCAGTGGCATGATCTAAACTCACCCCAGCCTCAACCTCCTGGGCTCAAGCAATCCTCCCACCTCAGCCTCTCGAGTAGCTTGGTCCACAGGTGTGCACCACCATACTTGGCTAATTTTTGTATTTTTTGTAGAGACACGGGTTATCCATGTTGCCCAGGCTGGTCTCAAACTCCTAAGCTCAAGCAATCCACCTGTCTCAGCCTCCCAAAGTGCTGGAATTACAGGTGTGAGCCACCACACCCAGCCTAAAATGGTATCTTTTCTCCTTCTCCTCCTTCTTCTTCAACTTCTTGTTGAAACAGCATCTCACTCTGTCATCCAGGCTGGAATGCAGTGGTGTGATCTGGGCTCACTGAAACCTCTGTCTCCCGAGTTCAAGTGACTCTCCTGCCTCAGCCTCCCAAGTAGCTAAGATTACAGGCACACGCCACCACCCCTAGCTAATTTTCGTATTTTTAGTAGAGACGGGGTTTCGCCATGTTGGCCAGGCTGGGCTCAAACTCCTGACCTCAAGTGATTCCCCTAGTTGGCCACCCAAAGTGCTGGGATTACAGGTGGGAGCCACTGTGCCTGGCCTAAAATGGTCTTAAATCCCAACACTATATAAATATATAAAGTAGAGAGCAAAAGCCAACCCTGCTGGGATAAGCTTGTTGCCTAGGCTTCCAGATTTCTCACTTCCATTTAAACCAGACGTTAGGATTCAAGTATTAGTATGAGTGAGTAGAACCCACCTGTCCTTTGCATAGGGGGCATCCCCCTTCTCCATGGGGTTCTTGACACCATAGCATAGTAGAAAAAGATTCCATAGTTGAATGCCCCCTGCTCAAATCCCATTCTGGCTGGGCGCAGTGGCTCACACCTGTAATCTCACAATGTCTGCGGGTCAGCAGCTTGGCTGTGTTTTTCTGGTTCAGGGTCTGTCATGAGGCTGCAAGCAGGATGGCTCAGGCGGGTGGATCACAAGGTCAGGAGTTCAAGACCAGCCTGGCCAATGTGGAGAAACTCCATCTCTACTAAAAGAACAAAAATTAGCCAGGCAAGTTGGCAGGCTACTCGTGAGGCCAAGCCAGGAGAATTGCTTGAACCCAGGAGTCGGAGGTTGCAGTGAGTTGAGATTGTGCTATTGCACTCCAGCCTGGATGACAAGATGGAAACTCCATCCCCCGCCAAAAAAAAAAATCCCATCCCACCCCTTGCTAGGTAATGTGCCTCACCATTCTGAAGTACCTCTTCCTCATCTATTGATCTATTGTGTCTTGATGTCACAGTCGATCATGAGAATTACATGGGTCAATATGGTAATATAATACAAAGCATTTTATTTTATTTTATTTTATTTTATTTTTTTGAGATGGAGTTTCGCTCTTGTTACCCAGGCTGGAGTGCAATGGCGCGATGATCTCGGCTCACCGCAACCTCCGCCTCCTGGGTTCAGGCAATTCTCCTGCCTCAGCCTCCTGAGTAGCTGGGATTACAGGCACGCGCCACCATGCCCAGCTAATTTTTTGTAGTTTTAGTAGAGACGGGGTTTCACCATGTTGACCAGGATGATCTTGATCTCTTGACCTCGTGATCCACCCGCCTCGGCCTCCCAAAGTGCTGGGATTACAGGCTTGAGCCACCGCCCCCGGCCACAAAGCGTTTTTTAAAAGCAGCTCACACTACAAGCATTGCAGTCAGTGTCATTGCCATCCTTGTATTGAAAAGCTCTACGACTGTTGCCACTGGGCATTTCTTCTTGGCCATCATTTGGAGGGGGCTTTCACCGCCTCATATATTCCCTGCTTTCCCTTCTGTGACTCCCCTCCTTTCCAACTCTTCATTACAACCTCAAATGCCAGTGCAGGGAATGCACAGAACAATCGACTCCATCTCTCTGTTTCATGGTCTCCATCCAGTTCCTCTGGGTGTCCTCCTCAATAGCTAACATGCACTGTCAATGAAATTTTCTCTCTCAGAGGTATTCTAGGTCTAGCTGTTGAACTAACAGGATTTTCACTTCCTTACACATTCACATACACATATGCACGTGTGGTCCCTTACCAGGCTGTATAGTACATAATAACTGAACACTTGCTTTTTTTTTTTCACTTAAAATATCTTGGAGATCTTCCCATAAATAAACAGATTCCCCAAACCAAACCAGAGTGTTTTGCTTGAACTCAGGACCTCATGATCTGAGACCTCAGGATCTGGGGCCAGCTGGTGGAATCTCTGAGAAGGGTAGAGATAGCCGGCTGCCAGGTCCCCAGTCAGCTCAGCCGCTGGAGAGGAGCAGAGGACTGACAGGCCACAAGGGACCAAGTCCACATGCTGACTCTGAACAGGAGGAAGACTGCTTTCCTCGGTCAGTGGGACAAACCCTAATGAGGATGAATAAGTGTACCTCAGACAAACCAACTGACCAACCGGAACAGGCCAGAGATGAGGCCGTGTCTTCCAAGGCCCAAGCAAGAGATACATACCCTAGAGGGAAGGAGTGTGTCAGTCAAGGTTTGTTTGTTTGTTTGTTTGTTTGTTTGTTTGTTTGTTTTGAGACAGAGTCTTGCTCTGTCACCAGGCTGGAGTTCAGTGGTGCCATCTCAGCTCACTGCAACCTCCACCTCCCAGGTTCAAGCAATTTCCTGCCTCAGCCTCCTGAGTAGCTGGGATTACAGGCATGCATCATCATGCCCAGTTAATTTTTGTATTTCTAGTAGAGACGGGGTTTCACCATGTTGGCCAGGCTGGTTGGTCTCCAACTCCCAACCTCACCCACCTCAGCCTCCCAAAGTGCTGGGATTACAGGCATGAGCCACTGCGCCTGGCCTCAATCAAGGTTCTTAATTGCTAGCCACAGAAACCTACTCTGGAAAATATAATCAGAAGATGAGCTTATTGACATATTTCCAGGTATTTCGAGGAAACGTCTAGGAAAGCTGGAGCACTTGGTTTGGAAAATAAACAAGAATAAGGGGAGCTGAGGGAGAAACATGGCCACGCTCACACCACAGAGCTAGAGGGATGGGGACGGCTGTGCTGCCACCACCGACCCAGGACAGCAACAGCCCAGTGTGCCCAGCAGCCACTGCCATGCCTGGTCCCTGGCCTGAGGCTGTAGCCTGGACGCAAGCTGCCTGTTGCTGCTACACTGTTCCTGCCCACCCCAGAAAGGATTCTCCACTGTCCCTTTTACATCTGATTTGCTGCGAGTAGGTGATGTCCCATGCTGGACGCAAGGGAGACTGGAAGGCAGGCAACTGGCGTTGTTAGTGTCTATAATGGAGGCAGCCTCTGACTCCCACCAAACTCATCAGCGAGACATTTCCCAAACAAAGCAGGAAGGCTTCAGGAAGATGGGGCTGGGACGATGTCTTAGATCTCTTGGGCTGCTACAACAAGACGCCAAAAACTGAGTGGATTATAAACCACACGCATTTATTCCTCACAGCCCTGGAGGCCGGGAAGTCCAAAATCAAGGACCAGCATATCCAGTGAGGGCCCTGGTTCATAAATGGCACCTTCCAGCTGTGTCCTCGCATGTGGAAGGGACAAGGGATCTCTGTGGGGCCTCTGTTATAAGGACACTAATCTCATTTATGAGGGCTCCACCCTCATGACCTGATCACCTCCCAAATGTCTTCTATCCTAATACCATCACCTTACAGGTTAGGATTGCAACACAGGAATTTAGGGAGATGCAAACATTCAGTTCATTGCAGCAGCCAAAAGCAATGTTACTACCAGGAGGCATCTCCAGGTCAGTGACCCAGGAGACTGATGCAAAATCTTGGGGCAGGAAAGAGAAGGCGTTCATCATCCAGGAGGATGAGGACTGTGGTGGGACCCTCAGAGACCTGCAGGATGTCCCTGAGGGTGGTGGGAAAGGTGCATGGTCCCATCCAGGGTTCACACTAAGAACCAAGTTCTGGGAGACACCGAGGACTCCAGGGTTCTGGAGTCAGCACTAAACCAGGCAGCCCTCAGGTGAGGTCTGGGAGCATCTCAGAAGCTTCCGGTCCCTCTTGGAGACCTGCCCCCCTTCATCCACTTCCTTTTGGTGCCTCGGCTTTGTTGGTCCTTTCCTAAAGCCATCCAGTAGACCCCCAGGTGCCTGGTGGGTTTGTCAAGGTGTTTCCCTATGGATCCCTGGGCTTCTAGCATGGGT